GTCTGCTGTAGAAGCGAGACTTGTCGTCAATGGTTGTGCAACGCTTTCCGTCATGCCTACTTCGCGTTCCGATTCCTACAGACTTACGGAGGCGGCGATCTTGGTGACCGAGGAAACCGGCGAAACCCTGCAGGCTCGACAAGGAGACAGGCCAAGTTAAAGAAGCAGGTGTGAGTTTCGGGATTTGGAATTGCCGGCTGCTTGCTTTTTTGCCCAGCCTTTGGGAACGTCGGGCTCAGGATCCCAGCATCAGGAGCAGATAAGCAAGGCTTCTGGATCCCGGGTCTTGCTGAAGGAGCCTCGGGACTCGGAATCCGGGAGCCCACAATGCAGGCAAGACTGCAACAAGCAGAAAAGTAGTTCAGGTTTTCGTTACCTACGAAATTCCCGTCTGTTAGATGCAGGCTGCATAGCGGCATAGCTGGGGCCTTCTAGAAACCAATGTGTTGAAGCAGCAATCACAGAGTAGCAACGCAATGAAATTTCTTCAAGAACGCAATAACGGGTGAAAAACGTGGAAGGAGTGGCAATAGGAGCAAAGCAATCGTACCCAAAAGGGCGATGAGGTTTTTAAGTCGAAGAGATACTAGAGCAACAGGCAATATCAGCTTGCATCCCGAAACTGGTGCTTTTCTTACGCTTATCTCGTTCGGGATTGTGCCGTTGATACACCTGGTAGCTAAAGCAGCTTTCAACCCCACCCACTTCAAGGATTTGTTGCTGGCGAGATGCTTTTGCTTCGCTAGGTGGAGGTTCGCAGCCTTCCGCCGCTGGGGCCCCGGCAAGCCGTCATTGCTTGGACTTACGGCTTGACATGGCTCATGGCTCAGCGCAAAATCCCTTGAGGTATTCTGGTGTCCGTACCTTCCGGATTCCAGCGCGGCCCAGGACTGCTGAGGCCCGTGGATGTTCCAGGGACGTGCAGCCTTTCCTTTCCAGTCCAGCCAATGTCTGTAGGGGGAGAGAACTCACCATACTCCATGCCGTAATAGCTCTACACCTACAATCTCAAATCATGCGCATTCTTCCTCCTCAGGCGATTGGACCTCCCTGCCGGGTGGCTTCCAAGCTGAGAGGTCGCCAGATTTCGATGTGGTCTTGCGCACGTTCGTCTGTACTGCAGTAGGACGAAAGTTTGACCTACTCCTTGTTTCGTCGAGCACAGGCCCCCATTCCCCCATAGAATCCTAACAAACAGGACCACCGGCTATTTCTCCGGAACATTGACGTATTTAAAAGGCCAGGCCACGTAAATCGCACTTCTCGGTACTCCACTACTCCGCAAGACGTCTTAAAGCAAGACAGGTCTAGTAGGTCAAACTTTTGGCCTCGCGATGTATTGTGTGTCGTGCATACTTAAACATAGATTAGGCTGGGCTGGAGGATGTTGCCATGCCCAGCCAAGCTCAAGCGCCTCGCAGGCCGCCAACCGCCAGATGCGAAGGCCTTGCACTACGTGAGGATCTGGACTTAGGGTCGCTAAGCTGACGATGGGCATCGCAATCACAGAGAGCGAGAACGTCAGCAGCGACAGTTATATGTGCGACAGCAGCGGACATCCGCCTCCTGCACCTGCATTCTTCACTTCATCACGTCACCATCGTCATCAGAAAGCTGTCGGTGTGGTGCTTATGCTTATTGTGTGGTTTCGGGTTGGAAGACTTGGGTCGGCAAGTACGCCAGGTCTCTCCAGCAGCTGTTTTGCCTGTGGTGCTTAACGGTCACAATTCCTGCAAACGACGTCCTGGCTGCTTCACGTTGCTTCAATCCTTCGGCCAGCGCCCCTTGTACTTTGCTCAATTTAAATTTTTGAGTTTCGTGCACGATGAGAGGCAGCCGAGAGCCCCGAGTACTCGAGCAGCCCACCAGGCCAGCCGTGGGCAAACCTCAGCCGCTCATTCCGTAACGACTTCCATCTTTCAGGGGTCACTCAGGCACCGTACTTGTAGATGCTCCGTTAAGCGGCACCCGGTGCGATTGGGGCTCGAAGCCGTCCGACTCCAGGCTTGAATGTCCATGTCCTTGACCTCGCCGAGGGCGAGGACAAGGAAGCGAAAGCGCGAAGGGACCTGCATCCGGAGACTTGTGCGCGGGGAGTCAGCTGCGTGGTGAGCCCCGGGCACTGGTAATAAAGTGCTTCAACGGGCAGTCGCAATCCTGGTCGATCGACTGGGTCCGTTGCAGGAGGCCGCTTTGGAGGATCCGGCACGGATCAGCCATTGCTGCAAGGCTCGGCAGTCATGTTCCCATGGCTTGTCCGGGAAGGAACGTGATACCTGTGGTGACATTGCATATCTGTGAACACCGTGTGGCGGTGTGGGGTTGCTAGATAAGCTAGATATATGCAGTGTGGTTCACGTCCCCAAGACTGACCCTACAACTTCGTGCCTGTCTCAAGGACTCCACAAGCTTAATGGAGGAAACTCGGCAAAAATGGGAGGGAGAGGCGGATGGCAGCTTGCACGCGCTCGTGTCGCGTCTCCAATTTGTCAAAGTCTGCGGTTCGTTGACCTGGCATGGAGACTACGGACACTGCTACGGCCAGACCCAGCCACTCAGGCCCTGGGACTTGCCGATCCCTACGCGGCACTCTGCAGACGTGTTCAACGATCGGCCGATTTCGTCCGGGCCTTCAGAGCGGCAAAATATCTAAGTGCGCAGCCAAGTTCTGTAGTGCGTGGTGCCCGGTATTGCTTGCGATGGATCCGATTCTCGTTCCAACAGGGCAGATGTGACCACTAGCCTCCAGTGTTATTCCAAGGACGGATGCATGCACATGTGCGCAGGCATTTACACATATTGGTAATACATACACAGACACATCCATACAGACACACATGAATGGACGATATGGAGGAAAAAACATGAACTGCTACGGAATCTACTGACCTAGCATGCTACTGAAATGCAATCAAATGTACTGAAATGAGTTGAAATGAATTGAAATGAAGTGACATGGGTTAGAGGACAGAGTGAGTATGGAATGAAGGAGTGGATTGGATTGAAACGGATGAATTAATTAATGAATTGCTGAAAGAATGAAGAAATACGCATGCACGAATCAAAAACCCACATAAGTATGACTATGTGACAGTTCGATAAGTGGACAACTACATAGGTATGATCGTGATGGTGCCGACGGTGACGGCTGATATGACGGCATGCCTCGGAACAGCATGCTTCGTAAGTTTCGTGAGCCTTACCTCACACATGCTCTGTTTCCCCAAGTATCATTTTTGCAGAAGGCTGCTAGATTCTGCAATTTAGTATTTCAGAGTTCTGGTGTTATTATGTAGAGAACGAAGGCGCGAGTGAGCGAAAGCGACAGAGGTGTTTTTTTCGCGGCGCTCCTACCTGCCACCACCCATGCCATCGCGCACGTGCAGCAATGTGATGGTTCCAGACAGACAGGCCGCGACCTTTCAATGAGTCGAGACTGCCTAGGTCGAAGAATCGTTGCATCAACATCGTCTCGATGTTGCCCTCGATCGAGGGCGCATTGTCAGGCAGCGGAAGCCAAGGGATGCACAGCCGATCCCATGCGCAAGCAGTGCGAGTCATGCTCGCTGCATTCAGACGAGTGCTGAGCGAAAGTGCAGGCCGCCTTCCTCGCACGGACGACCAAAGGCCTTTGATGCCATCTCGAGTCGAAGTGAAGGGATGCATAATGTAGGCATACAGGGGTCAAAAAATGAAGTTTAGTGAACCACCGAAAGCCCATTCTAGTTGCTGAGGCCCCGATACTAGCGGGCGAAGCCTGGCCTCAGGTGCACAGCCGGGACTTAGCGAAGCTTCGAGGCCTCCTAGCGAAGCTGAGCCAGCTGCAGCCTGGGCCTCGACTGTCATCCTGGGTACCTTCCGGAAAGTACGGCGGCTTTGAAGGGCATTGTTTGGCTTTTGTTTCGGTTCAGAGAGTGTTGAGTTTTGTTGGTGAGCTGATGGCCAGACCTATAACAGTTTGAATCCGTGAGGCTTCCGTGGGGCTCTTGACCCGAGGGAGCTTCCATCGAGGGGGTCAGAGACATGACAGACAAAATGATCAGAGAGGCTTCCGGTAATGTTGGAAGTGCAGAGGAGAACCCCGCTGATCAGCCTTCCAACTCTCCTTGGACATTTGAGCACTCTCGACGTGCTTCTGATGTTTCACAGCGGCCATGCAGAAAGGAGCTCGATGGACGATGTGCTGCTGCAGAGACATGCGTGAGACTGAGCCACTCTTTCTCTGTACGGGAGATGGCAGCTAGCACCTAACATCAGCCTTTTGATTGATTTAAGCTTTGCAGGTGGTTGCAAGTTGGGAAATTCCCGATGCGCTGCCGCTGCTGGCACAGGCAGGAACAGCTGATTGCTGCGAAACAAAGCATCATCGTGAATTTGTCTGGGGTTTTCGTGACTGGTGTGGTGGCATATGCCGGAAAGAGCAAACTACATGGTTAGTAGCGCGTTGACGCCCCTACACTTTCTATTATAATATGCATGTAGGCTTCAAAAGGTGCTTTGGGACAAAACAAGAAGCTTCACTTGCCTCCGAAGAGTTCTGAACTGACCTGTGCCAGCTAGCAAAACTAGACCCGAAGCTTCCTTAAAAGGTTCCTCAAGCGCAGCGTGTCTTTGGGACCTTGTTTAAGACATCCTTACGGGCTCTGAGCTCTTATGGATCGGGTCTCCCCTCCGAGCTTGGGCGTTTGGCCACATCAGCAACCAAAGCCATGAATGCCGCGAAAGGGAAGGATGCAAGAATGACTGCGAGTGCCGGCATTCCGGAGACACTGATGTGACAGAAAGATGTGACATAAAGGCAGCGGAGAGCATTATGATGAAGCAAGTGTGCGATCGGGGATGACTGTGGCGCATTGGCAGAGTGAAGGCCCTGCGACACCTCCAAACAAATGCAAACTGAAAGTCGGAATCATGATGCCTCGTTGGACATTTTTGCCTTAACCAACCTTGTCAAGATCGATCAATGTCCTCGGGCTGATGAGCCTCGCATGGAGAACTGGGTCTGCTGTCATAGGATGGAGCAGGTATTGTGAAAAGACAGTGCGCTAGCAGCTCAACAGCAAGGAAAGCAGTCCCACGAGTGACTAGAGTTGTCACCCTCGCTTATCCGGAGTGTATATTCTAAGGGAGATCAGTATTGTGGTAAATTATGGTCATAACTGCAAACCGCGGTGTTAGGGCTATCCTTGCACAGGATGTACCTCGACGAGGGGGCTGGAAGCTGCGGCCACGGCGGCCTTTCGACGAGAAAGTCTGGGGTCTTCTTCATAAATAGGATCTAACAGGGAGCCAGAGTAAGATGATTTTGGAGAACCTGCGTAGGAAGGAACCAAAGCAGCCAAAACACGTGCAGCCGATGTAGCTCACTTGTCCCGTGCCGGTTCCGGGCTTGAGAGAAGCTCTGGTGCCTATCTCTTGGCGAAGGTTAATTATGTACTTCACCTATCTGTTTGCTTTGTCGCAGAAGTCGGGAACACACCCGTGGAAACCGAGCATGGGGATCAGTCTAAGCCAGAGTCTAAGCTGCACGGTGTTTCTGACTTGGCAATCCTTCCCAGAACTGCTGAGGCAGAGACTGGAATGGCCAACACGATAAAATCTCACACCTTCGTTGTGGGTCGAATTACCACAGCATTTGAGGATATGCTCAATTCGACGGTCTCCCCTTCCTCGATGTCCGAAATGTCGGCAAATAGCGACTAGGCAGAGAAAGCGACTGTGCAGCTTCGAGCCTGAAACCTGTCCAAACCATGGCTCTTGGGCCATCGGATGCTGTGGAGCCGGAAGCAAACCACGGTCCAACTTCGTGCGCAATCACTCCTACCCGAAGACAATACCGCGGCCATTGCATGCAAACGCACCTGAACCACGCATCTTTTTACCGGTGGGGGACAGCCCCGGGAGGGACCCGTCTCGCAGCCTGTGCATGTTGCAAAGCCGCACGTCGCAATTGTCGCGGCTTGTGCACGTCCGTGGATTTAAGCAAAACAAGAGCTTTGAACCACTTTGAACCTTGTCAGCGGCCGTAGTACTATAATACATTCCTGACCAAACGAGCATCATGGCACTTGATAGCAGAGCACAGTACGGTCAAGGAAGTTTTGGTGCAGCTCCTGCAGCTCCTTGGGGCCCTTTGCGGAGATCACCTTCCGCCGCTTCGGCCAAGAGAAAGAGGGGCTGGCGTGGGTGGTTTCGTAGTGCAACATGAAACTTGGCAGAACAGACAAAAAGCGGCAGGCCACGGCTCATTGACACGGAGTACGGACTGTGTATTAGTTGTACATTCTTGTTTTTCAGTCGAGTCATGGGCTCGCCTTGAAAACCAAACTGAAAGGAGAGAGAGAGAGAGAGAGAGTGAGAGGGAGAGACACTGCCCCATATTCGCGGAAGGAAAGAAGAGAGGGAGAGGTGGACCGAGTCCATGCGGGGGCTAGTTCCTGCATTCGTCTTGTTCATCTGTGACATGCCAAGTGCTGTCATGGTAACGGCTGAGGACTGTTTTGAGCATGGTGGTTAGCCTGGTGCATGCTGGCCTTCGTCAATCTACAGTTGCAACATCACATACATAGGCTGAGGTGTAGGATTATTTTATGCCCCAATGAGTGAGTGATGTGAGGTGAAGCAGACAGAGTTACACGCCCGGAGTCTACGTGCAATACTTAAGACTGCAAGTCATGCAATAAGAGGCATGTGCTCAGTAGCGGCAAGACCCTGCGCAATGCAATACTGCAAGTGTCCAACAATGGTGCACAACAATCATGTGCGCCCTCGCAACAGATCACTCCTGTCAATGAACAGCACATGATAGGAATGTAAACATCAACACCCCAGGGCATGTCATTACATCTTATCAGCAGGCTGTCTTGCTTTCTTTGTGGGCCCCTCTTCTTGTTTCCGCGTCACTGACTTGTGCCTTGAGTCGACCAGGGAGGTGCAGAAAATCAGCTACTGAAGAGTGTCGAGTCTATTGAGTCTATTGAGTCTTCGAATGAAGAGGATTCTGCGGGTAGGGAAGACACTGGCATTCCGGCGCGGAGACTATCCTAGTGGGGAAGCGGTGCACGAGGCTCAATGCCATCATTCAACAGCTATGTGCATGTTGGTGAAAGGACTGTACCCAGCGGGCGATGGAGATGCAGCGAAGGCAGGTGTCCACAACAGTTTGTGACATTATGATATGTGTGTGTTTGACGTCCATATCCATATACACATGTATGATGGTAGGTATGTGTGTCTGTATGTACGTACATGCATTTGTATGTATAAATATGTGCGCACACACATACATGCTGGCATGCATGTCTGCATTCCTACATACATACGTACATGGTTCGATTTCTCCTCAAGCCTTCAGGGCTCAGCTACCTGCAAGCTGTGCAAGTGTAGAAGCACAGATGCACATCTTGTCGTGTGCGAGAGCACAAAGTCATGTCTCCACGAAAGACAGACAGACACACACACACACTCTCTCTCTCTCTCTCTCTCTCTCTCTCTCTCTCTCGCAAAACATATATATATATATACACATGCACACATATATATATATATATATACACACACACACATGGAGATGCAAAGAACAGGTGCGCACGGCACCGACACAGACAGAGACACAGAGGCACACAGACAGACGCACAGAGACGCATATGCAAAGAGCGTCACGCGGACATACAGACATGCACAGATATATATATATATATATATACGTAGATGTACATATGTATATATGTATATGTATATATACATATGCGTATATGTATAGATGTACACACATATTTCAGTCTAATTCGTGGTGCATGCATTTATTCATTCATTCATCTGTTTGTGTTTGTCGATACTTATTGGTTCTAAGTTGTATCTACTTATAACTGTTCTATACATGTACACACACATAAATATCTATGTATCTATACACACGTACACCTGTGTATATGTATAAATACATCTATATGTGTGTATATATATATACATATTCTTTAGTATGTGGACATATTCACTCACGCATGCATGCATACGTGCATGCGCACACACACACACACACGCACACACGTACCCTTGAGTCTTCTTGGTCAGAACCCTCGGTTGTACTGATCTGGTAGTTGATTGATTTCTCATGATTTCTCGGCGTCATTGAGGCGGCGGAAAATGCAGAAATTCAATTCATGAAGGATGATCGTTTAGATATACTGTTTAATTCGGTAGTCTACCAAAGTTGTTTACCCACAACGGTTACCCACAAGAATGTGCATTTGCTATCTCCAGCGCTGCAGCACTGGCAAATGCGGTTCTGAGGGCCCTATGCTAGTCATGCTAGTCAGATGGCAGATGTGTGGAAGTGGTCAGCTCCCATACCAGCCATAGATGCAGCCCTCTTCGTTGGACCACCAACTGCATTCATGCGGCGGTCCGCGTGCTATACAGCATACTAAATGTGTTACTGGAGGATATCAGGTCTTCCCCGCAGCTCAAAGTACAAAGCGCACAAGCACACAGACAGTCCCATGTACGAGTTTATACATTTATACATGTTCTTAATGTAGCTTCTCTTGAGCTATAGTAAACCCCGAAAAGTTGGAAACCGGATTAAGGACAATTAGTGCTGGGATTTCCTAAACATTACTCTTTAAGGATTGCGGCTCTTGGGTTTCCAACTTTTGGGCTTCTACTGTAACAAAGCAATCGGTGCCATGAAGCAGCACGAGACCCTATGCTCGCAGGGTGACTCTGTCATCTACTTCTGGGCTGAGCCACCTGTCTTCAACACGCTGTGCCCAGGTTCAGGCGGTTGCTAGGCCCCGGATTTGCAGCCCAGCAACAACGGTAGGTTTTGTTTTTGTTTGTTGTTGTTGTTGTTGCTGCTGCTGTTGCTGCTTTGTGGTGGTTACTCGGTTACTCGCAAAGCGAGGATGTATTTCACCCCAAGGACAACTTCTCCCGCTGCGTGTGAATGAATGAATGTTGTTGTTGTTGTTGTTTTTGTTGCTGTGGTCGTCGTCGTCGTGGTTGGGGCTGTAGCTGTGGCTTCGGCTGTGGTTGCTGTTGCTGTGGCTGCTGTTGTTGCTGTTGCTGCTTGAACATACTGAGGGTGAGACTTGTGCTGGTGTTGGTGTCTATGCCTATGCTGCACTTCTGCTCCTGATGATGCTGGTGGCCATGATGATGATTTCAATGTTGAAGGAGGGCCGCTGTCACAGATGCTGGTCGCTATGTCGATGATGCTGCTAGCGAGATGATGGTGATGCTCGTGATGAGGCTGGCAGGGATGACGGTGTCCATCATCCTTGTGGTGATGAGGCCGGCGATGATAGTGACTTTGCTGGTGCCGAGGATGGTTGTTGTGATGTGGTGATGATGACGATGATGCTGATGATGATGATGATGATGATGATGATGACGATGATCATGACGATGGGGATGGTGGCGGGGGAGGTCTTTGATGATGCTCATGAGCGACCAGTATGAGGAGGAAGCAGTTCCCATTTCCAACCCCGCAGTGGTCATAATCTTGATTGCATCACCGTGGTGATGCCGGTGATGGATGCGATCGTAGTGAGTTTTCTGGCTCGTTTGTACCCCTGCAGAGTCTGGAAAGTTGGTTGCGACAACCTGCTGCGTATGATCGGTAACGATGGCCTGCAAGATAAACATTGCTGGTGGAACTGTGCGCATTTGCGGTGCTGTTGATGATCACCATGATACCGACGATGCTTGCTGCGGTTCCTTTGCATCAGTGCGTCGCACAGCTGTGTGGCCGAGGGTCGCTCCCCGGCTCAGCTTCGCTTTCACCGTGCAGGCTGGGACAGTGCCTTAGGACCTTTGGGGCGGCAAGCCAACACCGGAAATGGACTTCAGGAGCCTTCAGACAGCTGCCGACATGAACTTGCTTCTTCCTACGTCTGCCTGAATGTGCTTTGAAGCTCCCACTTTCTCCCGAGTACAGACTTCCGAGACTGCCATGCGCGAGCCAAAATTCAGGTGGGTCAGACCGAGATGGCCCAGCAAACTTGGTACCAGGAGGCCATGCTTCTGCCGCCACAAGTCTTTCAAAGCATTTCGGCAGGTCGTGCAACGTCGAATATGCCACGTAGAATTGGAAGATTTGGCTGTCGCAAAATTCGCTCATGCTTTCATTGGCTCAAGAAAATGTTCCCTTCACGTGCTCTTTTACACTACGTGCCGCATGGCTGCACTAACTGCCTCTCAGGCAACGCGACAGCTTTTCCAATGCGCTAGTGCCAAGCTGTCCACAACTTCCCCCAACAGGCCCGAGCTTCCAATAGTCGGTTGTGCTGATCTCGACGCTTGAGGCTAACATCGCTTGATTGTCCATATGGCGGCTGCGAAACCCTTGAGGCCCCGGATAATGGTGCAGGTTTCATTTGCCATGCTTGCAAGTAGCAGTGGCATTGGCAGGTAGTAGTAGTAGTAGTAGTA